AACACTCAACTAATATTTCTACACCACGTGGGCGTGGAAAAGTCGAAAACCCGTCAACAATACGAATAAAAATCAGTTGAGCATTGACTTAGAATAGGCAGAAGAATTATAGCATACCTTGGAACTCTCGGGGACTTCTTGGGCCGTGCAATCGGAAAAACGAGTGAAAATTCGGCTATTTAATCCCTTGACGGAAATTTGGTCGGTGGTCCATACAAATTCAACAAAATCCAACCACGTCTCTGACCAAATGTGGTTCGGAAGACTTAGTCCTTCTCTAGGAAGACATGCTAATTACCAACAGGGAATGCTTCACGAAACAGGCAGCCAGTTCTTCACACGATGTTCTTCGGTCGGAAAATACACAAGTGATGCAAGGATTCGATTTCCTTCACAAAATCAGATTTCAACCGGAAATCTCCCTCCAGGATATAGATAGAGAACTATATATCTTGTCTAGTCCAACTCACAAAAGGGCATAAATAAAAAACGATGTTCTAGAATATTTTCCAACAGCCATATTCCATATCCGGTCAATGAACGAACTCAACTCACAAATTCCCACAATTAAATGAACGAATTGCACACTGCGATCCACATCAAAAATAACCAATTTAACTATGAAATTTTATCTGATAATTTATAAAATTTCAATAACCAAAACAAAGGATAAATAAATCCAAAAACATCTGATTTGATCTGACAGTGACAAATGACGGACAGGTGATGATCAAAGATATAGAGAGCTCGACAAAAAACCTACTGCAGGGCGGATCCAGTGAAAATATTGTGGAGCTGTAGCTGTATAATATCGCGGTGTATATCGGGTTGCATAATTGTAAAATTTAAATAAAATAATATTTAACAATAAAATTATAGTAAACATGATGCAAAAATAATAGTTATTTTTTGTTTCGTTTCTTTGACCTGTATACTATATATTTTTTTGTTTTTACTCTTGGCTTTAGGTCGTTGGGGTTGCAAAGATGTTTCTAGATTTTGTTCATTATTTTATTTTATGACGAGGTTTCGACAGTATATATCTTTTTCAAGCCTCTTTAAGTACATAAAAACAGTCAGTTAAAATCAATAAGATGAAATGTCAAACTAAAAGGTCTTACCTTGAACGTAGATTCCTACAGAGTTAAAATTTGTTAAAACTGGACAAACACAATAACACATATTAACTATTATTTTAATTGTTTTTGGACATCACATATATAATAACATATATTAACTATTATTATATATGTGAATACCATGAACGTAGATTCCTACAGAGTTAAAATTTGTTAAAACTGGACAAACGCAATAACACATATTAACTATTATTTTTAATTGTTTTTGGACATCACATATATAATAACACATATTAACTATTATTATATATGTGATGTCCAAAACAATTAAAATAATAGTTAATATGTGTTATTGTGTTTGTCCAGTTTTAACAAATTTTAACTCTGTAGGAATCTACGTTCAAGGTAAGACCTTTTAGTTTGACATTTTATCTTATTGATTTTAACTGACTGTTTTTATGTACTTAAAGAGGCTTGAAAAAGACATACAGAGTGTTTCAAAACAAATGCGAAAAACTTTAGGGGGTGATTCCTTGTTCAAAATAAAGGGTAGTTTGCTTTATAAACGTTGGGTCAAAAGTCAACCATTAGGGAGATATCGCGGTACAAAGATGGCGGAAAAATAATGTTTTTATTTTTTATCTTGAAAACGAAAAAAGATAGACTAATGAAATTTTATGGAAGCATAACTGTTATGAAAACACACTTTCAGGTAATTTTTTTACTTTTTTAAAATGAGTGGAAGGGGTTGAAATAAACTACCCCTATCATTCTTGTTAAAGAAATTTAAAGAAAAATCTTATCAAACACATGCAAATGCTTTAATTTGGATAGTTTGGTTTGTTTAGAAACTTTTTTACCTTTGTTTTTTTGATAAAACTCACCGATTGGAAATTAAAAATAAAATGTAAAGCATTACATGTCAGGACAAAAAACATTTTTAGATTAAGAATCTAGTGAAAATAACGATAATAATAATCATCTAGATAATAACGTATTGCAGTAGAGTAATGTCAAATAAAATAATATTAGGAACATCCTAAAAAGTAACAGCGGCCGACTAGATTTTCCTAAAAAATTACAGCAGCCCACTAGATTCTTTATCAGAAAATGTTTTTGTCCTGACATGTAATGCTTTACATTTTATTTTTTAATTTCAAATCGGTGAGTTTTATCAAAAAAATACAAGAGATAAAAAAGTTTCTAAACAAACTAAACTATCCAAATTAATTTTTTTGCATGTGTTTGATAAGATTTTTCTTTAAATTTCGTTAACAAGAATGACAGGGGTAGTTTATTTCAACCCCTTCCACTCATTTTAAAAAAGTAAAAAAATTACCAGAAAGTGTGTTTTCATAACAGTAATGCTTTCATAAAATTTTATTAGTCTATCTCTTTTCGTTTTCAAGATAAAAAATAAAAACATTATTTTTCCGCCATATTTGTACCGCAATATCTCCCTAATGGTTGACTTTTGACCCAACGTTTATGAAGCAAACTACCCTTTATTTTGAACAAGGAATCACCCCCTAAAGTTTTTCGCATTTGTTTTGAAACACCCTGTATACTGTCGAAACGTCGTCATAAAATAAAATAATGAACAAAATCTAGAAACATCTTTGCAACAACAACGACCTAAAGCCAAGAGTAAAAACAAAAAATAATAGTTATTTGCAATAATTTATGAGCTAGCATATAGAGGTCGTTGCGAGGAAATTTTACTGTTACAGCGTTGTTTTTCTTTGGTCCGATTTTTGATAAAATAACTACCCTTTTAAACTGAAAATCAGTTTGCAACTTGAAATTTTAAATATTGAGTTCAAATTTAAAAAGTTGTTGCTTATTTCTTCAAGCAGCGTTACTATTATTGGAAATATAGTTTGAAATATTATTTCTTGAATTGGTATATACTAATTTACCATAAATACATCTTAGAAAAGTTGTATTGATGGTCAAAAACATTTTTTTCCATATTTTAGTACCATAAATGCATACATTATACACCAAAGCTATACAAATCGATATCCATAAACATCTAGCCAAAGCAACAAATCCAATGATCAAAAAAAGGCTGCCCAACCAAAAAATAACAAGAAATCTAAGTCTTAGGGAGAGCGCCCACATTTTGTTAGCAGTTGTAAACCTAATAAATATGAACCAAAATTATCCAAAGCGTCGCTATTGGATACACCCCTTTTGCAAAAAAGACAACGGATCAGTGGATTTAGGGTTTTTAAGGAATTGAATAACTATCCTGAAAGATTTTAGGAATTTTATAGAATGAAAAAAGAAACCTTTGATATGCTAGTTAGAAAAATTGTTCCCATTTCAAGTCTTGCTTATTCCTATTGGAATAATCGGCACGAGTGTGGTCATAAATGAATGGTTTAAGAATCAGTGATACAAAACGTATATTGAAGTCCGGATTTTTGCCAAATTCGGGCATTTTGGCATTTTGGCATTTTTGCCAAATTCGAGTAACGTGTTGACAACAGCTGAAGAGGAGATACTAGAAATGAGAAGTATGCACTCCAGTTTCACTGTACATATATTTAAATTGCTGCGAGTATATGTAAATATTGCTTAAATATGTTAAAATATGCTACCTGTTTTGCGCTAAGATCAGTTTCTAAGGAACTTAAACTTATCAACCTCTAGAATGGCCTATTATGCCCTTTTTGAATCACATCTTCGTTATGCCCTTCCATTCTGGGGTACTTGCTGCGCAACAAAATTTGATCGTATTTTCAAACTTCAAAAGAGAGCAGTTTAATATTTATTGGGACTGAACAGTAGAACTCACTGAGAGAATTTCTTTAAAAATTTCAAAATACTGACACTTCCTTCTTTATTCATTTTTGAATCCGTTTGCTTAATTCGCACGCACATATCTGCTATTCCCGAAAGGCCATCTCACAACTATCCACTTTATATCTTTATCTGCCCATCCCGAGCTCAGAACTAGTTAAAGGCTTCATACTGTACAATGCCAAAAAAATGTACAATTATCTGCCTTTGAACATCAAGTCGCTTTCGTTCTTTCCCGCATTTCGCAAAGCTCTGAAATTATACTTACTGGAGAGGACCCTATATGCGGTAAACGACTTTCTTGTTGATGTTTAATAATGAACAATTTTGAATTTTAAAATTTTGATCATCTCACACACTCGTTAAAGGTCTAGTATTTTTCGAAATTCCAGTTCCAAGAGGGTGAAACCACCCCTCAAATATTATAATATTTTTTATTTAAAAAACTAAAGGTCTAGTATTTAATATTTTATTAAATGATTACTAAACTCTTAAATTATTATAACCATTTACAATTTTCCTATTGTAAAATTTTATTGATACGCCTTTTTTGTGTTCTGCAATGTCCATATATGTTCTATTTGTAATTTTAATGACGTAATTTTTTTTTGAATTGTATGATTTGTATTGTATTATATTTTTTTTATTATTTGTATATTTTTTGTGCTTTTGTTTTGTAAATTTTTTAAAATTTTGATTTGTAGATGAAGCTATTTGGGCTTTTTGTACAATAAAGCGTTATTTATTATTATTATTACTTTTTTATGTTTACCACGTATTTTTTTAATAATGTTTGATTGCCAATTCATAATTGTTTCTATTATGTGTATATATTTTAAGCTAACTCTTTCTTGCAAACTCATAAACCTATAGAGAGATACACAAACATTTTATTTTCTATTAAACGTAATTTAATAGAAGTGTCTACTAGACCACTCTGTAGCGATTAAAGGAAAATTATTCAGTGTAGCCGTTAAGAGTTAAAAAAATTGATAATGTTTGCAAAAACAACAAAAAAACAAACTATTAAAAATATAATAAAAACAAATTATAGGAGAAAATGTCATATTGCTAAAGTGTATCATCAAAACAACTATATTACAAATTCCTTGTACATAAAACATAATATGCTAAAAAACTATTTTAGGAAATAAATCCTACATCTATATTTTAAATTCATTCTGGTATTGTAAATCTGTAGATGCGTCTTTGGACATTTCCAGCATTAACCAAATAATTTCTTCTGTGATCGTGGTACTCATCTTCATAAGTCGTCGAATGATGGTGTTCCTCCGTGTGTTTTGGCGTTTTAATTATTTCAAATGTTGTTTTTTCGTGATTGCCGGATACGATTTTTTTAAGACCCAAGATTGCTGCCAGTAACAGAGCCATTTTGCCTACTATTAATGCAGTGCCAGACATTACAGCAATTCCTAAAAAAATATTTATATTTTTCATACTAAATTACATCCAATGAACCAGGAAAGATTTTGACAGAAAAATGACAGGAAATACAATTTCCCTATGAAGTAAAATGACAGACAAAACTGGCATTCCCAGAGATCCTCTCGTTAGACGGATTATACAGGGTGAGTCTTAAATAAGTGCAAATATTTTCAGTGCTGGTAGATTTCGATAAAAGAAAAATATTTTCATTTTATCGTTTTTCAAATATGTCTAAAATAACCCAGACATTTTACTTTAAAATTTAAAAAGAAAAAAGTGATTTAGAGAACTACTATATCTTTTCTGGGTTTTCTTTTTTTTGCAAATTTAATCTACTATTGCCATATTTTGAAGATATTATGGTTTTTAACTAAAAATTAAAAAAAAATTAAAAAATTCCAAATTTTCGATTATTTTTCTGAAAAAAACCTCATAGTCCTGTTTCTCGAATCGAAATATATACTATCCCTTAAAATATTTGCACTTATTTAAGACTCACCTTGTATACTAAGCTGATTATTAGTATTCAGTTCAGTAAGAATTTCTAGTAAATCAGTAAATTAATGAACTTAAAACTTAGTGTTTAACTCAAGCACAAGAAGTTTTTAAATGTTGATTTCTATATATGTCAAAAACAAGAGCTAAATTTTGCCCATTGAGTGGATACTTTATGGTTTCGATTGACGACATCCTTAAATAACAGAAAAAACCATTTAGTTTTTTGAACTAATTGATTATTATAAAATTACTATTACTGTTAATTTAATTATAAGATTTAAATAGCAGACAATATTAATAATACCATCTATTCCATTGCTAAATAGTCTATAACGCTTGTGATCTATCTGTCTTTCAATATTGATTATGTTGAAATTATTGAGGCGTTGTTCACTCACATTTCTCTTACTTATGACTAACCTTTGTAAGCCAAAGCTAAAAAACTTCCTTTAATGGCTAGAGCAGCCATTAAAGCTGCATGTTGATGTTTCTGTCCCTTTTTACCTCTGCCTTCTTCAGCGACAGTTTTTTCAGCACTATCCATCAATTTGGGAATATCCAAATTTAAACGATGGCTTTCTAAAAACCTTAACAAAAAACAATTATTAAAAAAATATATTCTATATTTTTATAGTGTTTCTTTTTGAAGTGTTATCTATAGTATAGTTTAGTATATCTACAGGGTGAGTTACCTACGATGTTCTCTATGGGTATCTCGGAAACTACTGGAGATAGAGAGTCGGTTAAATAGGAAAAGAATTGCAGTTTTGTGGAGTCATAAATATTCGCCGTTCAGAAGATTTTTGAAAAAGATCATGGCTTACTAGATATTTTGAAAAAAACAAATTTCGGCTATTTTAAAAATTGTCTCTAATTCCATTATAAGCTAAGTATAAAGGATATAAAAAATAGCTTATAATGGAATTAGAGACAATTTTTTAAATAGCCAAAATTTGTTTTTTTCAAAATATCTAGTAAGCCATGATCTTTTTCAAAAATCTTCTGAACGGCGAATATTTATGACTCCACAAAACTGCAATTCTTTTCCCCATTTAACCGACTCTCTATCTCCAGTAGTTTCCGAGATACCCATAGAGAACAGCGTAGGAAACTCACCCTGTATATTACAAAATTTATAAAAAAAAATGTTCAGAGTAAAATAATGTTAACTGTAACAAGAATTCCTGATTAAACACTTTTTTATTGTATACTTATCCACTGAAGATCAATCTACCAATAAAGAGAACGTATGTCTATTCTGTAATACAATAGACCTATATTGAGCCAAATAAGGGGAATCAAGAATAAATTGAAGTAACTAAGGGTCATCTATCTAATGATATTTTAAAATGTGGTTAATATAATATTTCAATATTTTGTAGTTAAATATTCATACTCATATTTTGCTGTATTAGGAGTCTTGTTAAATATTAATCCTCTATACTTTTTATTACAAGTTATTAATATGGGACAATTATTGTATTAAAATGTCTTTTTATCATCGTTAGCCATATTTAGTATTTTTGGTGGGCCATTCATTCATATCAAGCTTTTCCAAATTTAGTTTGCAGAATAGAGTTTGCTTCTAGTTACATTTAAAAAGGCAATAAAAAACTACCAGGTCGTTACCTGACGAGGACTATTGTAGCTAAATGATTAGATGTTTCAAAATTATTAATCTGGAGTATTGGAGTTGTTATAGTACTACTATAACTATCATATAAAATTATTTTTAGAGGTTCAGGGTGTCAAAAATTAATATAAACATTACAGAGTCGTTTTTTTAATGGAATACCAAAAGAATAGATGTTTCTATTTGCGCTCTTATATTTATTATATGTTTCTTACTATATTTGATATATTTATTATGTTTTTTTTTTCAAAATCACATTCGTTTGCATTTTTGTTTTTTATTTACCATTAGCTTTTTTGCGTAACTATGATAAGTGTCTTTTACCCTGGAATTAAATAGAAGTGTAGAACTTTTATGCACTATCCATTAAATGTGGTTTTCTGTTATATTTCGATAACAATAAAATTTTAATCTTTTTATTTCTAAGTGCAAACATTTTGCTATATAAGGAGTTTTATCAGATATTCTCTATACAGTTTATTATAAATTATTAATATATGACAATATTGTATTAAAATGTCTTTTTATTATGATTGGTCAATTTGAATTTTTGATCGGCTGTTCATTCATATCAAGCTTCTACAAATTTATTTGGCAGATTAGGCTTTGCTTCTAGTTACGTTTAAAAAAATTACAGTAACAAACTGAAAAAAAATGATTAGATGTTTAAAAATTATTAATTTTAAGTACTGGAGTCGTTGATATAAGGGTAATGGAATTACAATATAAATTTGTAGGTTCAGGGTATCAAAAATGAATAGAGTTGTATTTTGTTACCAAAAGAATAAATGTTCCTCTTTGCGTTGTTACATTTATGGTTTTTTTTTCAATTTCCCGTTTCTTTAAATTTTTGTTTTGTGTTTCTCGTGAAATTATTTATTTTTTCTTGTATAACTGTAATAAGCAGGGTTGGAAAAAATCATGATTTAAAAAAAAAAAAAAATCAGATTTTTTTTTATTTAAATTGGATTTTTTTTATTTAAATCAGATTTTTTTTTATTTTAATTCAAAACAGTATTTAAATCGGATTTCCAACTGAGTAGGACTTATTTCCAATTAAAGTCCTATCCTAAATGGCTAAATCTTTATAACCCTCAGCGATACCCATAACATTAACAATTCTACGGCGTGTGTCATTTTTTCACATCACCAATATATTCCGCAAAAAAATAGCTTTACGATGGTACTTCAAATGTTCAGCATCGTCAAAAAAAGTATAATTTCTACTCTTAATAAAACAATACACTATTGTTCGGAAATAGTCTTTAGTCGAAAATGAAATTAGTATTATCTAATGTCAAAGTGTAAAGTACCGTATGATCGAGAAAAAACGGCGTCAACGATGGCTATGAAATGAAGATCGCTGTCATTTTATATGTAAATTTATATGGGAAATGTCATTGATCGTCATTTCTCAGCCAACTGGACGCCGCGCCGTTTTTTTTTCGACCATACGGTACTTACTGCAAATAAAAATGTCGGTAAGAAATTTGGAAACATATCAACGTTTCAAAAAAATATAAAACAACATATTTTTTGACGATTATAGATTTTCGGGAATGTAGTTTTAATAACCTTGGATATTGTCTATATCAGAAGAACCTAGTTCTGCACTAGTCTGAAAAAAAAAATCCCTGCGTTTGTTTAGCGGTCTTATGGATTCACACGAAATTATTTCAAAAATCGGTTCAACATTTAAATTGATAAATAGATATTTTTATATAGTTTTATAAAATTTACAATTATTTTTCGATTTATTATCTGTTATATCTGTTACGGAAATATTTTTTAGTTTTCCAGGACAGATTTTTATAACTTTTACAGTTATTTTTTGATTTATTATAAAGTTTCAATAAAATTAATTTTTTGATTTAAATCACATGATTAAAATTAAAAAAATCACTTGATTTAAATCACGATTTAAATCATGATTTAAATAATTTGATTTAAATCATGCCAACCCTGGTAATAAGTGACATTTACTCTGTAGTTACAATGCATGGAAGAGCAGAACTTTTATCCACTTTCCATTAAATCTGTTTTTTTAAAGTTATATCATTGTATTTATATTGCTTTCTTTGTATATATGTTTGTGAAAAAAAAACAATTACATACACACATATCCAGTATATTATAACTGTTTTGTTTCTGTCATTAGAATCTATATCTATACTAATATATAAAATCCTTAAGTGACTGACATACTGATTAATCACGATCCTGCTCAAACCACTCAACGTAAGAAGCTCAATTTTGGCATACAGGTTGATTCTAGGGTGTAGAGGTTCGACAAGAAGGGATTTTTCGAAATTCCAGTTCTAAGAGGGTGAAACCACCCCTCAAATATTATAATATTTTTTATTTAAAAAACGGTCAAGTTTCCGAAAACACGCTTAAACATATATTTTATTTTGTTTTTTTACATATTTTAAGATTTTTTAAAAATGTATACAGGGTGTTTTGAAAAATCTGGTAATTGATTAATCACGATCCTGCTTAAAGCGCTTGACGTAAAAAGCTGATTTTTGGGAAACAGATTGACTTTAGGGTGTAGAGGTTCGATAAGAAGGGAGTTTTTGAAACTCGAATTCTAAGGGGGTGAAACTATCCCTCAAATATTAAAATATTTTTATTTAAAAACCGCTGAGTTTTTCGGAAAAACTCTTAAACACGTATATTTTATTTTGTTGTTTTACATATTTTAAGACTTTTTTAAATTTATACAGGGTGTTTCATAAAATATGAATATGTGTAGAGGTTCGATAAGGAGGGGTTTCTCGAATCTCAAATTCTAAGAGGGTGAAAACGCCCCTCAAATATTACAATATTTGTTATTTAAAAATCGGTTAGTCTTTCGGGAAAACGCTTGGACAAGTATAATTTATTTGTTTTTTATATATTTTGAAATTTTTTAAAAAATCATACGGGGTGTTTGTTATTAAATGTGTCGTGGTTAAAAAATTACCCAACAAAAAGTTGGGTAATTTTTTAACCACGATTCTGCTTAAACTGCTTGACGTAAAAAGCTTATTTTTGGCAAATTGATTTCTCGAAAGTCAAGTTCCAACGAGATGAAACTACCCCTCAAATATTACCAAGTTATATAATAATATCGCCATATTATTTTTTCTCATGCTGATATCAATGTGAAAAAATTGTATCCAGTTTGTATGTTAATGAATATTCTTGCTTTGCTTTATCATCACCATTACAAATGATTAATTCGACGTGAACGAAGTCGCTGGTACACGCTAGTAAAAGTATATAGGGCTGACAGTTTAATACTACTATTTTTGAAATATTTAAGATTTTTTGAAAATTTATAATTAATTGAAATCCTTTATTTTTCTAGACTTTAAGTTTTCTCTAGTATTTAAGTAATTAAAACAAAATAATACACACAAGTTTGTTTATTTACCAAGTATTGCCATTCAATAATAAAATTAACACTAGCTTATACACAAGATGCCTAAAAATTATTACCCAGCTTAAATATATTATCAATTTTTTTTACACCATTATTTAGCTCTTTAATTTTTCGTATAATTTTGTTGTATTTTAGACTTTTTTTCTTGCTGTTTGTAATTATTGTTTTTAATATATACATATTGACATTTTGACATTTTTTTGAAGCGAGTAGCAAACTTAGAAACACAAAAATTACAGATAATATTGCTGATATTCTCAAGAACAAGAATTTTAGATTTATCATTAAAATAAATCACCCAATATATTAAATGGAATATATTTTTATAAACATAATATTTGCACAATAAGAATTAAACTAGAACAAGTTGACGTCAGAGTAAGATCTGAAGGTGAACTTTGTTTAATTCTTATTGTTGTAAATATCAATATGGGAGAATAATTAAAAGGTAAATCAGAGGAGAGTCGAGGGCTCTCTCGGAGAGAACGAATGAAGAAGTCATGCTGTTCAATTGAGTTGAGTTCTATAAGCATCATAATGACAGTAAAGTAAGTTTATATTTTTTATATATTTTCTCTAAGTATATTTTATTGGTCAAAAGGTATTCTGCTTGACATTTCTCCTACCTAAATTAATGTATTTAATTCTTTAATAAATTTATATTTTGTTTTTATATATATTGATTGTTTTAATGATCTTCGATACCTAAAACGTCCCTAGCCGCAACCCTCTAAAACGGGGTCGCGACATGTGGTGGAGGCGCCGGGTAGGGTTGTAATTTTTTTTCAATTAATTATTTTTATTTTTTTCACCACCGCGACATGTGATGGAGGCGCCGGTCTCTCTTTTAATTAAAACAGCCTTTTTTTGTATGCAAATTTTAACTAATTTCTCTAGTTTTTTTTCAACACCACGACATGTGGTGGAGGCGCCGTCGGTTATTTTAAATATTTTTCTACACCACCACTCATGTGGCGGAGGCGCCGTGTTTTTTTTTAACAATTTCGCGTACCAACGAGACGCGTTTATTTTTTTATGAAAATATTAAATTAATAAAAAAATTTTAGCAACAATCAATGTATTTTTTAAATTTTTATATTATCTTTTGACCAGTAAATTGAACGCTTACTTTGATGATGAATTATACACTTATTTACATATATTTTAATTTATTTACAAATTTTTCGACTTAAGCAATATGTCCTATTACAATTATTTTAATTTTTTTCAACCTCTAATAACTACTATTCGATATTTTTAATCGTTGAACGAAATATTCCTTTTAATATTCATTCATACATAACTTTTCCTCTGTGTATTTTTTACCAAAACGATGCTTATATTTTTTATGTAATTGCTAAAATAACTATTTTTTTTTCGCGAGTCGTAATAAATTTCCAACACAAAACCTAAAATATTTTAAATATATTGCAAAATATTTACTGCTATAAACAATTATCATGAACAATTATTATATTAAAATCAAAAACGTATCTTTCTATTTTTAACAGTAAAATGAAAAATATATTAATTCAAACATTTTTATTTATTTTAGTTTATTGGAATAATCACTAAAATTTAAATATTTTTTTTTGAAATATCATACGCACCAATACATAATTGTCTTCTATTTTAAAATATAAGTTTTAGTTACTATTTTATTTACTGCAATTGTGTTATAAAAATATCTAAACAGTGCTTACATAGACAAAATTCCTATTTGTTTGGATTTGAAAAATAATTTGTATTCTATTTCATGTTATATGTAGTGGGCGATAATTATTTATACTCTACTTAAAAATTCTATATTGAATTTTAATATGAATTAAAAATTAGCAAACCTATATTCATGATGTTTTTTAATAAAACACCTGTTCTGTCTGAGTTTATACAGCCACCTAATTTTGACCCTAGATTCGATTGTCCGGTGTCTTTCATTCAAAAATATGACAGAATAACCGATAAGAATGGTTGGAGCCACGCTTTTAAAATAAAATATTTAAATTGTTACCTGGAAAATGCTGCATTAGTTTGGTTTAAGAAATATGTTAACAACAAGGATAATTTTAATAAAAATTGGCAGGATTTAAAACCGATTTTATTAAGCAGTTTGGTGGTGAAAATCCATTTCGTAAACTAAAATCTAAATTTCGTACCCGTATACAAGGTGAAAATGAAGATATAAAATATTACTATTATGATTTATTGTCGATTGCATACGAAATTGATAGTGAAGTAAATTTTGATTTTTTTAGAGAACAATTTGAAAACGGTCTACATGAATCATATAATAAATATTATTATCTTTTAGTTACAGAAAATATGAATTTTGAAAGTTTAAAAAGCATAGATCACAAATTAAATGATTTAAAAGAAACATTTTTAGAGTCTCAAATGTCAGCATATTCCCGGAATGATTATTATTGTCACAATTATATCCGTAATGAAAAACAACCAAAGCGAATCAATTCAGATTTCAGGAATAGGTGGTCAGTCAACAATTCTTATAATGGTAATTTTAGTAATAAATTTGATTACTTAGAAGGCAGAACAAGTTTTAGAAATAATAATAATAATTATAGCTCACATAATAAAAATCATTCAGTTCATTCAAAGTACACTAAATCAATGAAATCATCAAACAATAATAAAAAGTACAATAATAGCAAGGTCAAGCATAATCAAATAATAAAATATGGTCAACAGCACGCTTTCCCATGCGAAAATCATATCGATCAGGTGGAAAATACGTTAACCATGTCAGAAGAGGACTACATTGCTAATATAGACAATTACGCCACTGTACACGTGGAGGATGAATTGGAATCTCCACTGAAAGAAATAAAATGTGATGAAAATGTGTTTTGTATTGTTGAAGCACATTTGCAGGTAGAGGATGCCTGGAGTGCCCTCCCTAGCCAAATAGAGAGTGTACAAAATGTCTATGGAAAACGTTCTATCAAAAAGAACATTTATAATTTTAAGCGTAAGTTTGATAGAGATAATAGAATACCTGGGACAAAATACACAGACACAAAAGGACATGATAGACTAAAGGATATGATATCCAGACAGCGTAATGCCAAGGAACCAGAAGATATTATTATCCATCCTAGTCACCCTCCTTGGGCTCATGAGTCGAGTCAAATTTTGTATTAAGGGAATATGAAAATTGAAAGTACTAAGGCATTTGAAAAGTAAAGCTGGTTAGGTAGAATTTAAGAAGAAACTTTAGTAATAGTAATTTTAACATATAAGTTTAAACTATGTATTTTTAATAAGAATACAGACTAATAATCCGCAAATAACTAGTACTAATATAATATTTTTGTTAGCATTTTTTAGGGTGATCAAGATGACACTTCCCAACACACATGGTTTTATTGATAAATAATGGAAAATTGAGAAATTACAAAATGTACTTGAATAATAATAAAAAAAAAAATAATTCTTATGGAAAGTAAGTTCAGAGGTATAGTATTTTAGATCCAACTACAAGCATCTCCTGGTGAAAGATTATATTATTAACAAATTTGTTAGAAAATTATTTCATTACTTCTGCCCAAATATAAATGGAATATTTATGTTGAATAATTATAATTGATCTAAATAAATGTGCATTTCAATCAGAATATTAATAAAGATAGCTTTGTAAACGTGGTCAAGCATTCATCAATAAATAAATCAAAGTAAGCATTCGTTATTACTTAACGAGTATCATCAATCAGTTCAACTTTAAGCATTCCCAACAAATCAAACAAAATTTAAAATATACCACACTTTCTAATACACATATGCAAAATTCATTCTATTTTTATTTATTTTGCAAATATTTACAATTTGATATTTTCTATTTACCTGGCAGTTCTATCTGCAAGAAGCAAGTCCAAATCATCACTTGTAAGATTCTCTAATTTCTCTTCCTTCAAATTCAGCCCTCTCGCATACTTTTCCTGTCTATCATTACCAACAATATCTAGCCCATTAGCAACATTGATTGACTTGATTTTCAAAGCTCTATCACTAGCCTTAACCGCCTGGATCTTGAAACATCTCACAACGTCTTGCTTTTCCAAACACTTTCCCACGAGCCTGTTGAACATTTTCGTCGGTAATGGCACCGATTCCTGACATAAGCCAGAACAATTAAACAGAAAACACAGAAAAAGAACACTCAGAGCCCGATGAGACATCGTAGATGAAGGACAGTTTTTCGACTATGGTCAAGTGAGCACGGTGCATGTGTTTTATTAATAAGATTCCGTGCATGCTGCATACTATAACTTTCAGAGCGTAAATAATGAAAATTAATCATACCGTGCGGTATTGCACCCTACGATAGAGGATGTTCTTTCGTTTCTGATAATTTCGCTAATTTGTTTGCGTTGTGTGTGTTTAACATGAAAATTGCTACGTAAAGAAAATTATGGGAATAGAAAATACTATTATATTTGATGTTCGTTATATGTTTTAAAGGTAAAGACTGAGTTAATTTAACTCATTCATTGCATTTTTTTTGTTCGTTTTTTTGTATTAACGATATGTTTTATAGTAATTAGTCACTAACAGATAATGTTCTTTATTCATGAATATAATTCTATTATATTTATAATTCACTCATCATTTTCAGTTATTCAACCATTTCCAATTATGGTGTAGCCTCCCTCACATATTTAAATACTCTCTTTGTAGTATGGCCCATTATTGTCTCTTGTTGTCTATGCGGGCCCAAGTTATCCCTGCTAATTTCCAAATAATATAAAACTGTGTTACTCTAGGTCTCTTGATTCCTCGTAGGTACCATGCTGTAAATTTTGTGGTCCATCTGTTGTATGTCCTTCTTGCCAGGTGTCCTGCTCATTGCCACTTGAGCGATTTAATTCTGTGGATGACATCTATTACTTGGGTCTTTTGTCGTATCTACTCTATTCTTTTACGGTCTCTCTTGGCCTATTCCCAGCATATTTTGTTCCATTGAGAGTTGTGCGACCTGCAGTTTCCTTATAATGTCCGTTTTAAGTGTCCAGGTTTCACATGCGTAGGTCATGACTGGTAGTACATATTTCTCGAATGTTCTCTTCTTCAGATAAAATGGCATTCTAGATTTGAATATGAATAGTTTATACGTAAGGGAGATAAATTAGAGCAACGTACAGCTAGTCAAAACCTGTGCACAACACAGAGACTGGCACGCATCTGTACCACAGAGGCCATGAGAGCATACCCAAAATCAGCAATGGAGGTCATTCTAAACCTAACACGACTGCACATTGTCTTTGGTAGATACGCCAATGCGACAATGATTAGAATGGTCATTGACGGAAACAGTACTGGGAGAATTGTCGCAGCTCAGGAGCCGGCAAAACCCTCAAAAGAAAAATTCCACTCCTGCAACTCCCATTGGATGATATACCAAGAATGTACAATTTTGAGAAACACATCACTGTAGTATTAAGCAATAAAAAGGATTGGAAAAGAGAAACATTTGATCAGCACTCAAAAATCACTATCAAAAACAAAAAATCTTATCCCAGAGTCAAGCAGCATTAAAAACGACTTGGTAACCATTAATTAGAAGTTGATCAAAGAATGCCTAGAGAATCTGAACAAATTAGGCAAATAAAATAAAATCCTCCTACTCTGGGTGCTATTAACTGGACCTGAACTGTTCTGCTTCTCAAATGGAAATCAACTTAAAGAGGAATTGGAGAACCTGGAAGACTCCATCCGTAACCTAGAATGGGAATTCTCCAACGGTTTAAGAATTGGGGAAATTTCTCAGGACATAAAAGAAAAATCTCAAATATTTTCCTTAATTTAAGTAAGAACAATCTTCGGATTGTCCCACGGGGTTTTTAACAAAACACTGTCTCTTCAATGAACACCTCAGTAGATTGAGGCTAAAAAATATGCGAATGCAGATTCTGTGGGCAAAGTAGTGAAACACCAGAACACCTTATCAATGAGTGCGCCTAAATTACAACCATTCGTGCCATAAACTTTGTACTTTTGTTAGTACTTTGGTGATTATTGCTAATATTTAGTTTAATCTCTTCTAAATCTTATATATTTTTTCAGATTTGTATTACCGTTATTTCAACAGAAATCTAATTTGTTTAAAGGCGTTCCACATGGAACGATTTAGGAAACCGGTTGCCCAAGTCGTACCACGAGGCTATCTGCTAATCATATTTAACCATAATTTAAGAGTGGTTTAACAGAATTCCATCAGGCCTTAACTTGTCAATAAAGATCATAAATTCATCTTCTGAACCATTATTTTGATCTGCTTTGAAAACTATTTCTGTTAGTTCAGTTTACAGGTCAGACACAGTATATTTTGTAATCAGCATATATGCGTAAGCATTTCTGATTACAGGCTAATGGCTACATCTTCAAAATATATTTATAGCATTTATAACTTTATCGTAAGATTCCTCTATTAAAAAACTTAGAAAAGAACTAAAACGTACTGGTACAAATTGGACAACAATACAGAGACACTGTTCAATTATCGTTGAAAATAAAAAAAATATTTTTTAGCGGAAGATAAGGTTTAACGTTGCTTATTGACTTTCGAATGTATTTTTTTTCAAAGATGTCACACTGGACACTTACTTGGGCAAAGGATCTTTAATAATTTGTTAGACTTAATTTAGATTGAAAATATTAGAGTGAATTTTATTAAATCACAGTAAACCATTTTTTTTTTATTAAAGTACACTCATCGGCACGAAAAACGGGCACCTTAAAATTTTGATGTATTTTAAAGTTTTCTATATTGTGTTCTAGTAGACCGATTTTGATGATCTTTTAAGCAATTAGTAGCTCAATTATTTGACTTTTTAGTATCTCTATCGAAGTTAAAAATGAAAGTTCTTATCTGTTAATTATACGAGGGAACACAAAATCTTGTTATTTTGGTAAAAATTTGTACTAAAACACCCTGTAGAATATGTTAAAAAAGCAAGAAACTTGAAAATAATTGTGTCATCTAAGTGCATCTTTTCTCTATCGTTTATTTTTTGAATGATCTCAATAGCTTTTTTGGAAAAATTCGCTATTGAAGAAGACACCAACATTTTTTCCTAATTTTTACATTAAAACCATGCCTTTTCTTTTGGTGTCAGTCAACAGACCTATGAAATAGTGTTTATGAATTAGTGGGTAATGTCACTGTTATTAAAAAAATCATATTATTATTGTCCGTTGGGCAGTTACCCTAGCAGAGATATGGTTTTAAGTCCAGAAGTTGTATCTGCTATAGTTACCTTAAACCTGTTAGCGACATAATTTTGGTTTCTTCGCCTTCAATTAAACCAAAATTATGTCGCTAACAGGTTTAAGGTTGCACAGCTTTTCAAATTGGTTGGCGTTTGACAGATTTTCAAATTTATAATGAATTGCACCTAAGGAACGTACATCTAAGTGAAAGAACTGTAAGAAAAAAGATGAAACGAAGCAAATCTTATGTCAAGAAAATCTGCTTTGGGACCACAAGTTACTAGGTCTGTTGACTAAATCTTCCAGTAGTTCATCCACTACCAAGCTCCACAGCAGGGGGGAGGTCACTCCACCTTGTGGAGTTCCTTGCGTTGTTTTAACAACCACAGTATTGGTACCTATCTCAGCTTCTGCTGTTCGTGTTGAGAGCATTTCCCAAAACCAGCGAATTATCGTATTGTTCACCCCTCTTGTTTCAAGAGATCGCTTGACCACCTTGTGAGGTATATTGTCAAACGCCCCTGCAATGTCCAAGAAGGCACAAAGTGCTGTTTCTTTGCTATCCAGGCTTGCCTGTATTAGCTCAGTTAACTGGTACAGAGTAGTTTCTGTGGATCTGCCCGCTCTATATGCATGCTGACTATCTTGCAGTGGTTTAACCTTTAGATGATTTACTCTAATATGGTTGTCCACTACTTTCTCCATCGTTTTTAATATGAACGATGTGAGACTAATAGGCCTAAATGATTTGGGGTTAGCCCAGTCAGTTTTGCCTATTTTGGGTATGAAGATTACTTTCGCTCTTCTCCAGATGGTTGGAATATATCCCATCGCTAAGCTGCTTCTTGTAATGTTTAATAGATGGTGTGTAGCTATTTGCTCACCCTTCTTTCGAAGGGCAGGAAAAATCCCATCTATTCCTGTTGTTTTATAAGGCTGAAAGGTGTCAATAGCCCATTTCAGTTTTTGTTCTGTTATTACTAGCTTGGCCGTCTCCCAGTCTTCCCTGTGAGGATTGTGGGGTTCGGTCGGAGCTACTTGCGTATCAATAGATATGCTACCTGGAAAGTGTGTATGAAGTAGGAGGTTGGCTCTCTCTTCATCTCCTTCCGTGTAGCTTCCGTCAGGTTTCTTAAGTGGCATGTTGGGGATGGGCCCACTCTTGGCCATAGCTTTGTGTAGTCTAGCTGCATAAGTAGTTGAAGTGATGTTTTCGCAAAAGGATCTGAAGTCAGACCGTTTTGCCCTTCTAATCTCCTTATTATACTCAGTTAATTTCTCGGTGTAGAGCTGCCATTCGCCGCTGTGTTTGGCTCTGTTGAAGAGTCGTCGGACCTCCGACCTAAGATTGGCCAGCTACTTGTTCCACCAGGGCTTGTTGTTACTTTTTTGTATGCCCTTACTTGTGGGGCAACTAGATTCATATGCATCCAATATTGCACCACTGACTTCCCTTGCGTACCATTCTAGATACAGGTGGTTCCTAGCCCTACCTGCATCTATTTGGTCCAGGTTTTCTACGAGATTAGTATGGTATAGTTCCCAATCGGTTCTTCTTGGATTCTCCTTCGAGTTTCCGTTTGGAGTATGATTCCTCCTAATTTGAACTCGATGATTCTGTGATCTGATAGGGAAGGTTCCGTTAATACCCTCCAATCTTTCACGTAACTAGTTACACTAGCACTCCCGATTGTTAAATCTAATACTTCCGCCCGCGTTTTTGTCACAAACGTGGGAGTGTTTCCTATATTGGGAACTTCAGATTGAATGCTAAGAGGAATTCTAGTAAACACTCACCTCTAGTGTTAGTATTAGTGCTTCCCCATACCTCATTGTGCGTATTGGAGTCACATCCCAATAGCAGATGTAGTCGCCGTAGGATGCAGAATCGCGCGAGCTCCACTACTTCCGGAGGCGGTGTCTGTCCATCACCCGGAAAGCATGCAGAGGCAATCACGATATTTTTGCTACAATCCTCGATATTTAGTTGAACCATGATTGGAACAAGATCTCGGGTTGTAAATTCTGAAACACATGTGTAGTTAATGTTGTTTCTTATAAGAATACAAGCTCGGGGAAATTCCTGCTTGTTATCATATATTAC